ACTGAACAAGATGCAAAAATTAAAAGTAACATTGAATGTAGGCTTACCACTGGTTTGTAGTTTCATTGAAACTGGGCCTTAAATTAAAAAAAAAAACAACAACTTTTAGTCAGTAGTAATAAATCATTTAAAATGATGATGCAAGAGATATTTACATCAGCAGTCTAAGGATTTGATTTTGATATCAATTTATTTCATGCTACATATTTGCAGCTAAGGTATAAATGAAAGTAGATTTTTAGAAAGAGACAATGAAACATGTTTTAAACTGTGGATTTCAATCTAATGGAATATGTATGTATAGAAGTGAAGTGAAGGAATTAAAAGCTAAATCCACAAACCGTACTTTTTTGTTTGTGTTCTGACCAAAAAATTCAATGGCAAAGGTTTAAATGCAAAAACATCAATAATAATAAAATTTAAAAAAAAAACTTACCACTGAGTTTCATTTAAATCACTAAAAACAGACAGAAAGATTCAAATATATAAATAAAATGCACAAACTTGATTTTACTGTTGTACATGCTCGAATTCATGAGTAAACAGAAGCAAAATCAATGAAAGAGCAAATAAGGGTATTTTAAGTATTTTGATTTATCCTTAAATTACTGAAAATAAAAATCTTCCATTCCCTTTCATCCCTTAAATTATCAGTACAAATGGAGTAAACCCTCTCGGTGACTTGTAATTTCACACTTGTTTCACTTACATGGCATTGGAGGTGACAAAGAGGTCTGCATTGTCAAACAGTGCTACTTGTGGCCACTCCACCAGCAGCAGGAAGGTGAGCTGGATGAGCAGCATGAGGGCCAGCTTCCCTATGCTGCTGATCTGCAGGAACACGGAGCAGGCCAGCAGCGTCAGCAGCACGCTGTAGCTGAAATACTGACACAAACAGGAGGCAGCGGCGTCACAAGCACGCATCATCGACGATAGGTGTCAGGAAAACACAAACGCAAATCTGAGACTCTTCTTTTAAAGCGTGTGGACCGTTTGCTCACCTCAGGAAAGGGGCAGGAGGGGCCTCGGCTGGGGCAGATCTCTAGACCCCCCTCGATGGACACATTCAAGCTGCGGATCAGACAGGGAGTCACGGCAGAGGTGTTCAGCTTCTCAGCGACGCATTCAGCCAAACCCGTGGTGTCGCAGGCAAACTGCATGAAAGTGAAGCAGCACGACTTCAAACAATGTCGCACAAAGTTAGCAGATGCACTTAATTTGTTTAGCGATAACTTTGATCTCACCATATTAACGAAGGCAGAGATAAAGACGAGGATAATGGAGAATACTCCGACCAGCGTGCTGTTGGTGCGAGACTGGACAATCTTCTTCGAGACAGTCTGCATCGCAGCTGGAAAAATCTGCGAGCGGAAATGATGAACATGTTAAATACACGGTGAAGGCAAGAAAAAGAAAATGAGCGCAACATTTGGTATGGAGTCCAGGTGACCTGCTCTACCTTGATGCAAGAGTATATGGCACAGATGAAGAGGATGTTGGCGAGTATGATGAAGATACTGATGTAGATTCCCAGCATGACCGGGGTGCTGCAGGAAAGAATAGAGAACACAGATTATAAAAGGACATTTAGGGTTTTGTTTTACAATCATCATTATTATTATCTAAATCAGTTAAATTTCAGAAAAATACCCAGTTTATTTTTGGCATTTCATTTTCAAGGAAGAACCTTGAAAGACCCTTAAGGTTTTTCACAATATCAACATTTTTTAAAACAGTTTTTAAAAAACAAACAAACAATCAATCTAAATATATTTATACCAAAAAATCATGGTCTAAAACAGCGGTCCCTAACCACTGGTACCAGTCCGTGAGTCGCTTGGTACAGGGCCGCAAGAGTTGAGGCTTGGGTGTGAAATTTATGGTTTTCGGGGTTTTTATTGGTTTTTAGTGTTATTTTTTAAATGTTTTTATCGTTAACTCGGTTTCCCCAGGAGTTTTCCTATGTGTTATGAATAAATCTTCTTTTTTGGGGGTATCGGCACTGGTTTTATTTTGTTGTATTTATGCGCGGCACCTTAAAGGCCGGTCCGTGAAAATATTGTCGGACATAAATCGGTCCATGGCGCAAAAAAGGTTGGGGAACGCTGGTCTAAAATGAGTGTGGGGGCTTTAATCCATATTTGTGAACATCTGGAAAAGCCCAGCAGCATGACAGCCTGTAACTCTAAGGAGGTAGGATAACTAAAAGTGTACAACCAGTGAGTTCCTCATCAGTTCTTATTAGTCACTAAAGTGGGCGGAGCAACCCTTGGGCAGGTTCAGTTCACCAACATGTCGTTCAATCACGTTTTACTGGAACGATGATCATCAGTGGGGAAAGGTCAGACCAGCAGTCAGTTACACATCAGGAGTGATGTGTATAATAAACTGCACTCAATCAGCTGACAACAGGGGGCTCAAAGGTGACACAACTTGGACATAAAAGTGGATTTCAGGAGGAAACGTTGTTGCACTGTGAAAGTTTATATTGTCAAAACACATTGGAAGCTTAATAGGGGTGCAACGATACTCGTATCGATATTGAACTGTTCGATACAGTGCTTTCGGTATGTATGAACAATACAAAATTTGTAATTTATTTTATCAACTTTCCTTCTGACGATGCTGTCTGTGTTGAACGCTCAGTGGATCCACTGAGCGTTCAACACAGACAGCATCGTCAGAAGGAAAGTTGATAAAATAAATTACAAATTTTGTATTGTTCATACATACCGAAAGCACTGTATCGAACAGTTCAATATCGATACGAGTATCGTTGCACCCCTATTAAGCTTCCAATGTGTTTTGACAATATAAACTTTCACAGTGCAACAACGTTTCCTCCTGAAATCCACTTTTATGTCCAAGTTGTGTCACCTTTGAGCCCCCTGTTGTCAGCTGATTGAGTGCAGTTTATTATACACATCACTCCTGATGTGTAACTGACTGCTGGTCTGACCTTTCCCCACTGATGATCATCGTTCCAGTAAAACGTGATTGAACGACATGTTGGTGAACTGAACCTGCCCAAGGGTTGCTCCGCCCACTTTAGTGACTAATAAGAACTGATGAGGAACTCACTGGTTGTACACTTTTAGTTATCCTACCTCCTTAGAGTTACAGGCTGTCATGCTGCTGGGCTTTTCCAGATGTTCACAAATATGGATTAAAGCCCCCACACTCATTTTAGACCAGCGTTCCCCAACCTTTTTTGCGCCATGGACCGATTTATGTCCGACAATATTTTCACGGACCGGCCTTTAAGGTGCCGCGCATAAATACAACAAAATAAAACCAGTGCCGATACCCCCAAAAAAGAAGATTTATTCATAACACATAGGAAAACTCCTGGGGAAACCGAGTTAACGATAAAAACATTTAAAAAATAACACTAAAAACCAATAAAAACCCCGAAAACCATAAATTTCACACCCAAGCCTCAACTCTTGCGGCCCTGTACCAAGCGACTCACGGACTGGTACCAGTGGTTAGGGACCGCTGTTTTAGACCATGATTTTTTGGTATAAATATATTTAGATTGATTGTTTGTTTGTTTTTTAAAAACTGTTTTAAAAAATGTTGATATTGTGAAAAACCTTAAGGGTCTTTCAAGGTTCTTCCTTGAAAATGAAATGCCAAAAATAAACTGGGTATTTTTCTGAAATTTAACTGATTTAGATAATAATAATGATGATTGTAAAACAAAACCCTAAATGTCCTTTTATAATCTGTGTTCTCTATTCTTTCCTGCAGCACCCCGGTCATGCTGGGAATCTACATCAGTATCTTCATCATACTCGCCAACATCCTCTTCATCTGTGCCATATACTCTTGCATCAAGGTAGAGCAGGTCACCTGGACTCCATACCAAATGTTGCGCTCATTTTCTTTTTCTTGCCTTCACCGTGTATTTAACATGTTCATCATTTCCGCTCGCAGATTTTTCCAGCTGCGATGCAGACTGTCTCGAAGAAGATTGTCCAGTCTCGCACCAACAGCACGCTGGTCGGAGTATTCTCCATTATCCTCGTCTTTATCTCTGCCTTCGTTAATATGGTGAGATCAAAGTTATCGCTAAACAAATTAAGTGCATCTGCTAACTTTGTGCGACATTGTTTGAAGTCGTGCTGCTTCACTTTCATGCAGTTTGCCTGCGACACCACGGGTTTGGCTGAATGCGTCGCTGAGAAGCTGAACACCTCTGCCGTGACTCCCTGTCTGATCCGCAGCTTGAATGTGTCCATCGAGGGGGGTCTAGAGATCTGCCCCAGCCGAGGCCCCTCCTGCCCCTTTCCTGAGGTGAGCAAACGGTCCACACGCTTTAAAAGAAGAGTCTCAGATTTGCGTTTGTGTTTTCCTGACACCTATCGTCGATGATGCGTGCTTGTGACGCCGCTGCCTCCTGTTTGTGTCAGTATTTCAGCTACAGCGTGCTGCTGACGCTGCTGGCCTGCTCCGTGTTCCTGCAGATCAGCAGCATAGGGAAGCTGGCCCTCATGCTGCTCATCCAGCTCACCTTCCTGCTGCTGGTGGAGTGGCCACAAGTAGCACTGTTTGACAATGCAGACCTCTTTGTCACCTCCAATGCCATGTAAGTGAAACAAGTGTGAAATTACAAGTCACCGAGAGGGTTTACTCCATTTGTACTGATAATTTAAGGGATGAAAGGGAATGGAAGATTTTTATTTTCAGTAATTTAAGGATAAATCAAAATACTTAAAATACCCTTATTTGCTCTTTCATTGATTTTGCTTCTGTTTACTCATGAATTCGAGCATGTACAACAGTAAAATCAAGTTTGTGCATTTTATTTATATATTTGAATCTTTCTGTCTGTTTTTAGTGATTTAAATGAAACTCAGTGGTAAGTTTTTTTTTTAAATTTTATTATTATTGATGTTTTTGCATTTAAACCTTTGCCATTGAATTTTTTGGTCAGAACACAAACAAAAAAGTACGGTTTGTGGATTTAGCTTTTAATTCCTTCACTTCACTTCTATACATACATATTCCATTAGATTGAAATCCACAGTTTAAAACATGTTTCATTGTCTCTTTCTAAAAATCTACTTTCATTTATACCTTAGCTGCAAATATGTAGCATGAAATAAATTGATATCAAAATCAAATCCTTAGACTGCTGATGTAAATATCTCTTGCATCATCATTTTAAATGATTTATTACTACTGACTAAAAGTTGTTGTTTTTTTTTTTAATTTAAGGCCCAGTTTCAATGAAACTACAAACCAGTGGTAAGCCTACATTCAATGTTACTTTTAATTTTTGCATCTTGTTCAGTTACTATAATGTATTTTGCCCAATTTTAAACATCACCTTTCTTTAAATGTTATTTTCTTGTTGATCTTTTGCTTGTTTCTTTCTCTGTTTAATGTTTTTTTGTAGTCTTTCTTTAATCTCACTGCTTGTCATTCTCTCCGCAGCTCGTTTGTTGTGACCAAAGTGTCCCTGAGGGTCATGACTCCAGTGATCCTCACAGTTTTTGTCCTGGCACTGTACCTGCACGCCCAACAGGTTGAATCTACTGCACGCCTCGACTTCCTGTGGAAATTACAGGTATGGACATCAGGGTCCGCTAGAGGGCGCCACCTGACAATGTTAACCTAAAAGATCTTCCATTAATACCTCAAACATGTCCATGAGTAAAAAGTTGATAGAGCTGTTGTATGGTTAATTGAAATTAATTATTATATTATTATATCACTGTGTCTATAAGAGCTGATTTAGTTCATAAATAACCTCTATTTCCAGGCCACAGAGGAGAAGGAGGAGATGGAGGAGCTGCAAGCCTACAATCGTCGCCTCCTCCATAATATCCTACCGAAGGACGTAGCTGCTCACTTCCTGGCACGTGAGCGGCGTAACGACGAGCTGTATTACCAGTCCTGTGAGTGTGTAGCCGTCATGTTTGCCTCCATCAGCAACTTCTCCGAGTTCTACGTGGAGCTGGAGGCCAATAATGAGGGAGTAGAGTGCCTCCGGCTGCTTAACGAGATCATCGCAGACTTTGATGAGGTAAACTCAGCCTGTCTCGGAAGGCCGCGTGTGATCGTCATTTGTTTATCAGGTGCAGTCACCATCTGTGATCTCCTTACTTCTCAGATCATCAGTGAGGAGAAGTACAGGCAGCTAGAGAAGATCAAGACCATCGGTTCCACCTACATGGCAGCGTCAGGTCTGAACGACTCCACCTATGACAAAGAAGGCCGTTCCCATATTACTGCACTAGCTGACTATGCCATGAGACTGAGAGAGCAGATGAAATATATCAACGAGCATTCCTTCAACAACTTCCAGATGAAGATAGGTAAGAGGAAGTTAGAGGAGGAAACACGGTGGTTATACATTGCTGGTTTTGTTGGTGCAGTTTAACTTTTTTTTGTTTTTTGTCTTGGATTGACAGGTCTGAACATTGGGCCGGTGGTTGCGGGGGTTATTGGAGCACGGAAACCTCAATATGATATCTGGGGAAACACAGTCAATGTGGCCAGTCGTATGGATAGCACAGGTGTACCTGACTGCATACAGGTAGGTTTCTTGTAACTAATAAAATCAGCCCGGATAGGTTATTAGGGAGCAATCAAATATCACTGGGTGGATTTGATGGTAATATTTTATATCTGCACATTTATAGATTGCTGTAGAAATGTGAAATAAAAACACTTTAGAGATAAGATGTCCAGGTGTGCTTTAATACTGAAATGAAATAATATAGAAACAACGATGAAAACAGAACAAAAACAAAATTTAAAGCAATAAAAAACGCAGGACTGCACATAAGTAACAAATACAGGACACATGCAGGACTATTTATACACAGAGGACAA